TGTGTGTGTGTGTGACCTTGGAGCTTTTCCCCACCGTGGACTCAAATTTCTGTCACAAACTGTTGCCCAGTGCAAGGTGCAGGGGGCCCAGCTTGAGTTCTCCTCCGTTCCTGTGTTGGAGTGGTGTAGCTCTTGGCTCCCTGCTGGCCGTCCCTAGGAGATGCTGCTTCCGTGCCAGCTGAAGGCAGCTCTGGATCCCCAAAGCTGAACAGTGCTAGGAAATGCTGATGTAGAGGTGTGGTGGTAAAGCTTGGCCTGTCTGGCTTCAGGAGCACACGTGGTCTTGCTTCACAAATGCTGTTTGGTCCCACTCACCTCTGCGTAGCATTTGAAGGGTCGTGTCACCTCTTCCTTGGGTCGCAACGAGCAGTCGTGTGCTGAGATTTGCTTTTTTGGGAGCCTGCTGTGGCTCTGTCTTTTGTGCTGGGCTTGGCTGTGTTATTTCTGATGGGCAGTAGGAGCTCAGCTGGAGGAGCATGGTACCTGGTGCAGCAGAGAACAGCGCGCGTTTGCTTTCCTTCAGCTTGTGGGTGTTTTAAGAAGAGAAGACTCGCATCGGTTTGCCCCCCAGATGTCACTGTTTTAAAAGTTGTGGCCAGGCTGAACTTGAAATGTTGGCTTGGGGTATTGGTTGCCCAAAGTGTGTGCTAGGAGAGGTCTGTTGGTGCGGAGGTGCCCGGCAGTCGCTCGCCTGCAGGCGTGGTGTGGTTTGGGTCAGCGTCCAGGCGTGGGCATGGCCAAGGGGCTTTGCAGCTCTGCTGAGCCTTGCTCTGAAAGCAAGACGAGTTTGTACTCCTGCCCCCGGGTATCCGAGGGAGCCAGGACCGTTTCAGGCAGGCCAGGGGTTGTGCCCCAGCACTTCTGAGAGTCCCCAGCTCTGTAGTTTCCGAGCAGGGCACCGGCGGGTGGCGCTTAAGAAAAGGCAGCTCTGTGCAGACTTGGGTATGGATCTGGATGGGGGCACCAGCTGGAAAGGGGCTCTTTTCTTTTATGCGCAGTAAATGCGCGGGTCACTGGAGCTGGGGCGTGCGCTTGTTGGTTAGGGAGGAAATTATTGGTGGGGTGGAGGAGGAAAGAGCACAGGGGCACCTCTTAGTTCGGTTGTTCTGTGCTCAGTGTGAAGCCTGGTTTTCCAGCACTTAGTTCCATATTTTCAGTGGTCATGTGGATGTATTTGTGGTGGTGTTAAAAACAAACAGCCCCTATTGATTCCATGCCCTACCCCGCTACGTTCCAGGAGAAATAGCACCCCGGGGGCTGCTGGTCACAAACCCATCGGTGATGCCCACTGATGCGCCTCCCTCATGTGCCCAATGCCTGTCCCTCAGTTAACGTCAGTGAAGAAACAGGTGACAGATCTGGGAAGCCGGGTACAGACTCGGGAGGTTACGATGTGGGGAGGAAGAAAAAAGGGGGGGAAACCCCAACCCAACCCCAAAGAGCCGCCCTTGCCCCCAAACAGGTCTGAAGTAACCCACAAGAGGCAGCCTTCCTTCTTCCCACCCTGGAAAGCTCTGGAAGGTCTCTGTTGTTTGGGAAGCTGGCAAACCACTCCTCTGTTGGAGGTGAAGAGGTGGCACTGCAGACTCGGAGCATTTCCCCGTCTCTCAAATGTTTCTACTTGCTTTTAAAAAGCCATGACAGAGCCAACCAGGTGGCCAGCGTTCAAGGCAGAAGTAGGTCTTGCCCTGAGCTTCAAAGCGTACGTCTCCGCTCTGGTTTTTCCCACCAGCCAGCCTATTTCTAGCTCTCCATCTCCCCTTTGTTCCAAGGGGCGCGCTTGATCTCGTGTCCCGTTTTGAAGTTTGCAGGCGCCTGGCTTGCAGGTTCCTGGGTTCTCCTCTGGCTACACGTCTGCCTTGGCACCAGGGTAGGCGTTTGTCGGAGTCGGTGGAGCCCTTTGTGCCAGCCTGGCAGCGGGGGATTGGCGGGGGAGCCACAGGCGTGGGTGCTCAGGCTGGGGCTGGATGTGACCCAGAGATGTTTGCTGCTTTGCTCCAGGAATGGGCTTTGGGGAGCTCTGGTAACAAAACCCCACCAACCAAAACCCCAGCCAGCTGAGAAGTTCAGGGGGAGCCTGAACTCCAGAGATTAATTTGAGGAAATGTGATGAGACCTTTCTGTTCTCACAAGTACAAAATAGTGGTTTAGCAGTGCAGTAAGAGAAGGGAACGTTACAAATCTCTTATGGGACCAAGGCAACCGTTTTGGCAATGGTATTGCTGTAATTCTCCTGTTTGGATCTTTGTCTGATTGATGGATGAGGGAGACCCAGGCAACTCCAGTTTCTTTTGAAAGTCAGCATTTCAGATTTGCTTTTTAAGGCTAAAAAGCCACGACCATGTATTTGCTCTTGGGGTTGTCCATTGCATTTTGCGTTTGCATTCGGCATTTCCTGGAAGGAAAAGAGATGCCCCTGCTCACAGCAGGGGGGGGGGTGGCGGGGGCTGGGGGAGCCCCGCC